GAGTGGTATTACAACCAGTCATTCATGGTGAAAACTCTTGCCACCCACCATCTACATCATTGCGAAAGGTGACCCAGCTTCAGTAGGAATAAAACCAACCCTCTTCTTCCTTAGCAATAGCAAGGTTTTATAAATTCTAAACTTCATGATACCCTTAGACTCTTTGGGGCAAAATGTGTTATGTTCATCTGTCATTTGTATCTCTAGAATACAGCCTCATATATGCCGTCAGCTAGCAGTCTGGTGGTGGCAGTTCACAACCTCAGAGATATGACAGACAAATACGATTCGTACCTCCTGCTGGCCATATATCAGTCAGAAATGACAGTTGCTGTGAGGGAGTCATGAACAGAGAATTTAAGAAGCAATATTTTGCCCAACCATGTATGACACAAACATTCACTTTTTTCTTACAGTTAAAAGTGCGGCTTGGAAAGTTCGTTTTAAGAAGACTCAACATAAGGCATGCTTGAAGCCATGCAGAATTGACTGAACAGTGGCCAGATGTTGCTTAGGGACCTTTCACACCATCCTGCCACTCCTCCATTACGGATGGCTTTAGAATACCATTGTATTCATTCTTTTTAAGCAGGAGCATTTCAAGATCACCAGACCCCTTCAAGAATTATGTTGAGAATACTCACACTTTTTCCAATAGGAGTATAAGTTTTTTTGATGAACAAAGTATGCTTTGTACAAAGTATACAAAATACGCGTTACTTACTGACAGCAACTCTCTAGGAAGTGTTGTAACCAGTTATGTCTGGAGCAATGAGGGATACAACCAGTAGTTACAAGTTTACTTTTTTAAATGTAATGTGTATCACCCGAGTAACATATATGTAATGAGTAACACCTATTTACTTTCCAAAGTGGCAAAGGAAATATCTTGTCTTTCTTATTTTTATCAATACAGTATATCCAAGGTGTAATATCAGAATTCTCTTCTAGAGCAAACCAGAGATTTAACCAGAGACTGTATCTTTCTTGTTTGTTGGAAACAACAGCACAAAGCTTTAATAAGGCCCAGGGCAACAAATTACTGGTGCAGTGAAAACGTCACTGATGATAATGGGACATGATTGTTGAGATGGAAAGAGGAACACAAGTTCCTGTGAAAATGTAACATTCTGAACTCTGCTTCTTGGTGAACAGGGTGTTTGTGTTTATACACGTATACGTATGTGTGTGTCATCAGAATGAGAAGTTGCGACTGCCTGGACCACAGGCTGTCTTCCTATTTACTGACTTGTTCTAAGATACCAGAATCATGTTCAGATGTTACAAAACAGGTTGTCTGGCAAAAACAAAACCAAGATGAAAAAGCAAAGAAGGCAAAAACATTGTGGCACTTTAAAGTCTAACTGCTGTATTTTAATATGAGGTTTGGTGGACAAACTCATTTCTTCATAGTATAGAAGACATTATTACAATTAATTCATCATAGAAACAGGGAATCTCTTGATAAAACATATAGCATATTTGACACACTATTCTAAGGGAACGTATTCTGCAACTAAAGTTATTGCTAGAAGTTTTTTCCCCTGACCATTAAAAAAACGTTTAAAAAAACCACAAGAAAATCTGCTACATCAAATGTTTTAAGAGTCAAAAATTGGGATGTGTGATACTTTTAGAGAGACAGAATGGTAGCCCATAAACAAAATGTCAGATTGGGAAGCATTTGCTCTCCCTATCTGTTCAATCTGTATGCAGAACATATCCTACAGAAAGCTGGATTTGATTTAGCTGGAAGCATCAATAATTTAAGATATGCAGATAACATATTACTGGCAGAAAACAGCAATGGTTTGAAATGACTCCTGATGAAGGTGAAAGAAAAATGTGCAAAATCAGGATTGTAGTTGAATGTTAAGAAGGCAAAAAAAAATTCTACAAAAGAATTATATCACTTGAAACCTGACAATGAAGAATTTGAAATTTTTAAAGAGTTTGTATACCTCTGATCAATCATCAATCCAAATAGAAGCAGTAGCAAAGAAATCAGAAGAAGGCTGGGTCTTGGAAGGCAGCAATGAAGGAGCTAGAAAAGATTATCAAGCGTAAAGAAGTGTCATTGGAGACCGATGCCAATATCATCAAAATTATTATGTCTTTACTCATTATGTACAAGGGTGAAAGGCGGACAGTGAAGAAAGCAGACAGGGAAAAAATCAATTTCTTTGGAGTATGAGAGCTTTATGGATACTCTGAACCACCAGAATGACAAGTTTAAATCAAGATTAAAATGTCCCTAGAAATATATATGATGAAACTGAGGGCTGTTGTACTTGGGCACACCACAAGAAGACAAGGCACACTGTAAAAGACAAAATGCTTGGAAAAGTTGAAGACAGGATGAAAAGAGGTACCCAAATATGAGATGGATTGACTCCATAAACAAAGCATAACCTTGAGTTTGCAAGAGCTTAGGAGGGCTGTTAATGATAGGATATTTTGGACTCTCTCATTCATAGGGTCACCATGGATTTGAGGCAACACCATGGGTGTGATAGCATATAATAACAGGCATTTTAAGTTGATATTTGATATGAATTTAGCAGTATTCATAAGCTTCTTCATACTTGAAATAGAAAAATTTAGAGTTTAATAATCAACCAAAAGTTTTATGTATTTGCGAAGGCTTTCACGGCTGGGATCCAATTGTTTTTGTGGGGTTTTTGGGCTCTTTGGCTGTGTTCTGAAGGTTGTTCTTCCTAACATTTCGCCAGTCTCCGTGGCCCACATCTTCAGAGGAGAGCACTCTGTGCTCTGGTGCAGTTTGTTTGGGAGTTGAGTATTTATGGCTATGAGATCAGCTTTTGTCCTTTTCAGGAGATGGGTGATTATGGTGATCAATGTGTTTTTGTTGTGGATGTTCTGTTGTGATAAGGAGAGATTATCTGTTCCTGTGATTGATGGGTGTCCTTACCTGGTCTTTTGTGTGTAGGCTTATTTTAGATATTGGCATAGACTTCTGATGCAAAAGTTCCCCAGTTTAAGCTCTCGTAACCTTAGGAACTGGATCTTTGATTTTGATGCCAGTCAGGATAGGGCGGCTATTGTTGGGTCCCGTTTTTCTACCTGATATCCCCAACTTCAGGTGAATCATGCAAAACCAAAATATTTTCAGTCGTTGACTTTTCTCCAGATTCGCAGAGCTTTTACAGAGTTTAGATTTGGACAGATGGCCTCAGCATACCTCAAAGAGAGATACTGGTGTTGTCCAGTATGTCAGTATTTTGAAAGAGAATTTTATGTCCAGCTTGTTTTAGGGCATGTTCAGCTACCTGCTGATTTTTCTGGTTGTTTTAGTCTGCAGTGTCTCTCATGTTCTTTGATTCTGGTGTGGATGCTTTGTTTTGTGGTTTCAATATATACCTGGCCATAACTGCAAGGTATCCGGTATACTCCTGCAGAATCAAAGAACATGAGAGACACTGCAGACTAAAACAACCAGAAAAATCAGCAGGTAGCTGAACATGCCCTAAAACAAGCTGGACATAAAATTCTCTTTCAAAATACTGACATACTGGACAACACCAGTATCTCTCTTTGAGGTATGCTGAGGCCATCTGTCCAAATCTAAACTCTGTAAAAGCTCTGCGAATCTGGAGAAAAGTCAACGACTGAAAATATTTTGGTTTTGCATGGTTCACCTGAAGTTGGGGATATGAGGTAGAAAAACAGGACCCAACAATAGCCGCCCTATCCTGACTGGCATCAAAATCAAAGATCCAGTTCCTAAGGTTACGAGAGCTTAAACTGGGGAACTTTTGCATCAGAAGTCTATGCCAATATCTAAAATAAGCCAAATCAATTCTAGCGGCAATTGAGGGTAGGCCTAACTCAGCTCTGAGATGAGATGAGGGAGTTCCTGAGGGGAGCCCCAGTATCAGCCTCATGAATTTGTTCTGCTGGATTTCTGATTTGGGCTTGGCTGCCTCTCCCCATAGTTCTGTCCCTTAGAGCATTGTGCTAAAATTTTGACAACAAACACATTGAGAACAGGATTTACCAGCTGGCCTCCTCTGCCATAAAAAAAAATCTTTTTAATTGCCCTATTGATCTGGCGCTCAATAAGATGTCAGCAATTAAATGCTGTCTCCAGGAGAGTTTCTCACAAAA